TCTGATTTTCCGATAACATAGCTTTATATGTACGGATTTAACAGAAAAATCAAGCATTTTTGCAATCCTCCAAATCGCCTGTACAAAACCCTTGTTAAAAGCGATGAATTGCAGATATGGAGACATTTCTATATACCGAAAATCAGGTAATACTCGAGTTCCTAACACATATTTTTCCCACTTTCGTTTTTTTCTTATGATTCCTCCAATATGCAGAGTTCGTCATTAGCTCGCCATCGACGAACGCACACTGGCAAGAGGCCGTATGTATGCTCATTTGCTGGGTGTGGGAAAACCTTCACACGCCGAACCACTCTTACCAGACATGCCCGCGCACACGACCCTTCGTGGAAAGAATACAATACGTATGTTTATATTTTATTATTTTATGTTGAATTTGGGGTTCGTTTCCGGTGTGTGTGTCGCCCTCCCCCTCCTCCTCCTCCCCCCCCCTTTTTTTTTATCCATTTATTTTAAATGGAAAAAAAAAATTTTTAAATCCCGAATGAATGGAAGATGTGTGTATTGTTGTGTGTACGACAACAAGTTACAGCCGCATACCATCCGATCACCAATCAACGAACCCGATCTGTAATATCTGTTTGACCGACCGAAAATCAATTACTTAATCGACATTTTACCACAAAACACAGTGCATTCGAACCACGCCGCCGTTCTAGCTCGCCTGGACCGCAACTCAAGTGTGCTACCACCACTACACAGTACAGCGCCCCTCAAAGCCCGCCAACGCCCACAGACTGTTTCAAACCAATCGGTTATGGCCAGCCAGTAACTTGCTATGGTTCTCAGCTTACTCCGATATTGCCAGCAATTAGTTGCTTATTTCCATTACATGTCGAATCACCTGTGCACGTCGAATCGCACTATCCAGGCTCAGTTGTCGATTCACGATTCTTCTCTTTCAAGCCACAACAAGATGTAAACGACATGTACAAATATGCGTATCCATCTGAGACTCCGTTGGGTATGGGAAGCGAACGAGAGATGTTTTACTTTAATAATAGAATGCCTGGACTTAGCATGCGTTAAGTGCCAAGCGTGTCGTTAAATGACGATAAAAAAATAATAACATTTGGTCTGTACGGATAATTCGTAGTATACCTCCCCATATTTTTTTTTTCTTTAAAAAAAAAACCCCTCCTTTTCCATCACTCTATCAATTTTTTATTAATTTGTCGTTTTTTTTTCTTTCATCGGACTCGCTTTTTTCTTCCTTTTACCCCTTAGCAAATTTTGTAATTGTTCTCTATAACCACGTTTCGTATTTTTAAATAGAAAGGCCAGGCTTGGATGGGGGGGGAAAAGGAAACCACTAATTTCAACACTTTTCATACATGCACGATTTTCCCTAAACTCCCTGCAATTTTCCACATTTATCAACTAAGCAAAAAAGGGAATCACCTCCCTTTTTTATTTGCCATAAGATTTTTTTTAAAGCAAAAAAATTTCCTTTTTCCCCTTTAAATATTACGCCGATAAAACATTTACACTATACACACTTTCATATGTAAGATATAACCTCCAACATTTTAACATCAACCATACAGTCATTAATATGCTTATTACTTTTATTCTTTTGTTTACATTCATTTAAAACTTCCCCTAACGTTTTGTTACGAAATAATCGAATAATAGATATAGATGATTATGTATATAGAAGAACATGTGAGCTTTTTAAAAGACTAATTTTATGACATTGGTCAATTGATGAGTAAAATATGTACTAGTAACAAAAAAAAATTGATCTTGGTAATGTTTTTATTTAAAGTTTTTGTCATTGTAACTAAATATTCTGCAGCTGACTAGTACTAGTACCAGAAAGAAACAAAAGTGAACTTAATCTTTTGAACATAGACAGATTGCTAATACTAATCAACATAGTAATAGACAGATTGCTAATGCTAATGCTAATACTAATGCTAATGCTAATGCTAATGCTAATGCTAACCTTATTTGAATGAAACTTGATCAGGACTAGTACTAAACATTTATTTGTAAAGGTTTGGATGCATGCAAATTGACTTTGAAACTTTGATGAATAATAATAATTATTATTATACAAAAGTTAATTGTTTGTACGCCGTTACACATTGTTATTATCTTATCCATATCGGCTTCAGGAGATATACTAATACTGTAGGATAACAACTCAACTCTATTGCAGCCAGTCAAGAAGGTTGCTTGGTTCAAAAAAAATCAGATACAGTCGGGGCACACGACTACGAGTCTATTTATTGGATGAAACGTAACAATTGTTACTACTGTTAAGGATTTGTTTGCACAGTGGGTACGTCTGGCGAAACCAATCCCTGTCATGTTTCTACAAGTGGGCGCACATTGTTTTCGGGGTCACAAACTTTAAAAAAAGCAACGATAGATTGATAATATCGAGTAAAGCATCAAACGTCAAAAGTACGTATTACAAACATATCCACTGTTTGTGTAGCAAATGGTAACGCTATTTTAATTTACGCACTAAAAAGCGCTCTGACCCGTCAATCCATAATAGACGCTAGGACCCACCCGTCCGTAGGATGCAACAAAGTTTAATAATTTATGATTGGAACGTGCCAACTGTCAAATAGTGGTCAAAATATAAATGTTTACAATCATCCCCGATAATCGCTGGAACAACATCTCGATACGTTGTCTGTTTAAGGGATCAACGGTTACATTGGAGGAAAAACATAGCTGCATAATTGTTATCATATCGCACTATTCTACCCTGCATTTTGCACCATGATAATTAGATACGTCACCAATTTCTCTTTTGCATTCATGACAAGGTTTTTGAGTATCCTCACTACGAATATTATTCTGCCATCTTTCACATTTTACCTTGAGTGTGTGTGAATTTGATGCTTTCTCTTGAAAGCCTTTACTTTGCGTATGCATTAAGATAGAAAAAACCAGGAGTATGGAGTCGTTTTATGGAAAGCACGCCAACCATACAATGACGAATGGTCATACCCCATGTGAAAGCCTGCATAAAGCGGATTATTGTTAGTCCGACCAATGTAATTGCTAAAAGTAGTAAACGGGTTTGTTTGTTGTTCCGCTTGTCACAGCGGCTCAAGCAGAAACGTGTCCGCATAACATTAAATTTTGTAAAGTAAATTCGTGCTTTCTCGGTAGAAAGCCCTGGCGACCGAATGCCATTCCCGTCCACTGAGGTGGTCATTGTGACTAAACATTTGGCTTTACAGGGTCGAGCTTTGATACTTGTGCAGATTAAGATACTGATAACGATTGCATTAGGAAATAAACCATTCCACAACAAATTGTGTTGATTGCTCGCTGATAAAGGTTCATGTCATGTATTAACATTCGTCTAAGCGACTGTAGCGATTGCAGTGTGACCCACTTCAAACACCAACATGAAGCCAAACTGATATCTCGCAACGCAGGGGAATTGTAACACAAACTATTATTATTATTAAAGTTACGAACTGGGCGGTAGATCATTGTCGCACTAGAACTATACGCCATGAAGTAGGTAAAGGCGTATGTTAATACTTTAACCCTCCTCCGACAATATGCGAAATGATAATTTTAAGGGTATCACACAGTAACAAAAGGTGCATTATAAAAAATTTATACGTGTTTTATGTAATGAGCTGTTGGTGAGGATATGTTATGCTGCTAATAGCGGCAATCACGGGGTCCATGTTCACGAGAGAATACAGTATATGCGCTTCGGGAGCAAAACTTGATATTTGAACGAATTCATTCAGTCTTTTTTCCATAAAAAGTGTAGTGTAGACACATGCTTGTCTTTGTTATGACATAACATAACAGAGTTTTCCACATTTTTAATTCACATAAACTCGTTTACCATACGTTCTTGGGTTTCTCTAATTTAGTATACTTGTACACGATAAAACTCAGATGGATGCGCCAACGGCAATCGCCAATAATCAAATTGATTGATTAATTACCTATCACATGCGGATTATCTAAGATGGATACAAAGATCAAGATTGAATAGCACATCATCAACAACTTGACACAGTTTTTTGGGCCACGCTTTTGCATTTGCGCATTTGTCGGAAGAACGAGCAAAAGTTTTATCAACTCTTTATTTAAATAAAAAAATTTTAATTAAAAAAAAATTTTTTTTTAAAAAAAAACAGAGTTGTTTGGCTACTATTTGAGAAGAGCCTCAAATTAATTTCCCCCAGAAAAAGGTTTTGTTGGTTTATCTTTCTATTATTGTTATTTCCAATTAAATTATTCACAAAGAAAATAATAAGATTATCGATTCTGTAATAATAAAGTAGTTGAAATTAATACTCATCCCAACCGTAATTTCCTTGAGCAATCTGGTCAGAAAAAAAAAACTTTTTTAATGAGCCGTTGATGTTAATTTGTTCTTTTAGTTTTAAATAAGTATGGCAACTATTGACAAAACTTTCACATAGCAATATTTCTGTATAAAGTTGATGCTGTTTATAGCGAACCTGACTGTAGCGAACCAGGTTATGATAAACCAATTATCAAGATCGAATTTGCATAATAAATCTGTCTACAGTAATGGTATTGTCTGTGAACATTATTCTAAGCCAGCCAGATCAAAAATTTGAACATTCCGCGGCACGTGATTCGGAAAATTTTGACTATTAGCCAAATTTAGCGTCATACGATGCCGTTCTATCCTGCAAAATTAACACAATGATGGTTTTCGCTAAAAAACAGAGATATCAGGTGATCGAGATGTAATAAATTAGTAAATCGGGAGTGAAGAAGGCCAAGCTAACCGATAGAAAAAGTTGTAAAGAATAAATAATACACTCGGCACAAGTATTGACGATTTTTGCCGATCAACCAGTAAAACATGAAAAATCTTCCTCTTCAAAAAAACTCTATCGCACTTACTTGTTATGTAAGCCACAACGATTTATGAAGATAATTGGCTGTGCTTTTCGAGAAAATGGTGATACAGTCAACCGCACTCTCTCTAAATGCACACTCTCCCTATTCTGCATGTGCAACTGATTTTATAATCCCAAGGCCTCATTTAATATGAAAATATTCTCCTTAAATGGGGCACGTGACTCTTGTGCATTAATAGCGTAGTGGTAGAATACTGGTTTTTCAAGAAAGTTACCTCAATTCAATTCCCGGCTGATGCAGTATGTTAAGTTGCCAAATGTGGCGTGATTTTACCAAACCCGATTGTTTACATCAGGCCATCCGATATTTAATCAGACCATTAGTACCTTCTAACATCAGGTCATATTTAAATGCATGTTAGTCATAATAAATAATTGAACCGCCACTAAATATGACATGACATGAAAATTAATGAATAAATTTAACTATTGTGTTATAATTGTTTTGCTTCATATATTTCGCTATCACGTGATTTACTAATACAAACTCCCTAAATGCACACTCATTGTTATCCCTAAATGCATGCTCTCAACTTTTCATTCCCAAGGGCGTGCATTTAGGGAGAGTTGACTGTATATTTTTGTCCCGTTAGCGGCCGTTCGATATCTGTGTCATACATATGAAAATCTATGAAAACATGTGGATTGTGTAGATATCGTCACTTTATCCTTTCTTACAGTAACTTTGCACTTTTTTTTTTTTGAAAATACAATTAATTAGCTTCAAAAAGATGCAAAATTTATTGTCAATAGAGCTCTAAATTTTACTAATTGGTCAGCAAATCGGGAATACTTTTGTCAAGTGAGTGTAGAATAGCCAGTCCAGTATATCAGCAGCGATCAGAATATAGCGAGGTTATCGAAGTAGATTAAACCGTGCCAAAACTACTAGAGATAAATTTGGTTCATGTTGTCCTCAGTCTGTCAGTTATGGACCGAGACAACTGAGTTCTAGACTGAATAATTGTGTTCTAAACTGAAACAGATCCCAAACTCATACAGAACGTTTATTAACGAGAAAACTTTGTATTTAAGCATATAAAATGTTGCAGAGAGTCTTCTTTTCGTTAGGAATTAATGTGGATAAATGCCACTTATGATAACTATAACGGCACTGATGTAGTCTCAGCGATATGGCACAGAATACCAGTACACTGACGCAATGAAATGGAACAAGTTCGGTCAAGGTAAACTTCCGTAATAAAATTCCAGCAGAAGGCTGTGATTCCTTTACAGCTTGTTAGATGAGACGCGTGGTGAAACTTATTCGTCCTGTGTGTCACATAATAACGGCATATTTATTAATCTGTCATGTGACATTTGATTTATTGGCGTGAAATTTTTGACGCACGCGTGCTGGAATAGACCTCTTTTCCGGTTTCTCATAAAACCCAAAGCCATGTCCACCATCAGTTGTACTTCTGCAGACGATATGTTTGTATACTATCAACAGGTACTGCCAAACAGCAACTACTCTGAAATTTATGACGCGTTCTCCAAAGATTTGGTGGAAATTCTTGACTCGAACTTTTTTGGAAGCGAGGTAACAGCGGTCTTGAGAAATATTAAGCTCTGTTGGAGCGTAAGTATATGCGATTGTTTACATGCCTTGGCTTTGACTAGGAGAGGTTGGAAGGACTCAATGGTCGTCTACACTCATGTACTTATACGTGGCAACTTGAGGCTGCGGGTCGCTCAAGACCTAATCTAGTTGGGCTTTTTTTTTTCCAGATTTCAGCTGAGTGGTAGTAGGGATGACATTTACAGAATCGTATGTCAATATATTTATATAGATAATCCAAAAAAAGCATTTAAGATCATATATAAGTATTTGTGAGAGTGAGAATTTATGGTTTCGATTTTACCAAGCCCTTTAGCAATAGATTGCAATGGGATACACATCTTGATTTAGAAATCGCGAAAAACTAGAAACAGAATTTAATTTCATAAACGTAAGTATTGCAGTCAAGCTCGTAAAACTGATAGTAGTGTTTTTATCGGTTGTGCGAATAAATTTCGAAAAACCAATATAGAGGCGTAGTATCGGTTTTGAGATTTAATTGGTGGACAATTACATATAGTAAATTAAGAAACTGTGAATATAATAATAATAATAACTTCATTATGTGCCACCATTGATAAAATTATCTATCCGTTTGGTAGCCCGAAATTTCTATTTCAATAAACGCACAACTTCTTGAAGCCACTCTACTAGATTTGATCAACTATATACTAAGAATATCGCAATTCAATATCGGGTTGGAAAATATGAAAATAAAAGAAGCAATACAATGGGGAAAATCGCTTTCGTTTTATCCGGGCTCAAGTAAATCTTATTCAGCAAAGCAATGGGAGGCGGTACACGATTTATTTCAGTCCTTAGGATTTTCTGACATTGATGACGCCTAATCTCAACGCTACAATAAAATTTATTAACGCAGTGATAGGAAATTGGTGCAATTATATTATCAAAGCTATATCTGCCTTCTTTGTCAGTCTATTCAGAAAGACTCGTTATCAGATAAATGACACTAATATGTATGATTGACTATGATATTATTAATAAATTTATATAAATAGGACTAGCTAGAAAGGCAGGAAAGCTCTCTATACCGGACTAACTCTTGTGCACCGCTCGTTAATTAATGTAAGTAATAATGTGAAATGTCATACCGAAAATTTACGATGTGAAACCCATTATTTTATACAGGCTATAAAAAGACAAGAAGGTCGATAATTGATGCTATTAACATCTTTGCAAAGATGAGAAATAAGCAACGTTAAATGTGAATGCCTGTTATTTAACTCTAGCAGACCTTGAAATACGGCTTAAAAGCGTGGACTTTGACCATTCCATTCTGCTGTATATGAAACCATTGAAACACTAACCGATTCTAATTTCTTATTTCTCAAAATTCTGTTTACTTTAACTGCCCGTTGAAATATTGGTTCCAATTTTTATTGTAATATATCTTTCGCGCGTTGTAAAAAATGTTCCAGCGGGTAAGCGTAACATAGAACTTGCACAAATAATCTTGAAAATGTAAAATTTGCAACAAATTTTACCATAGCCAATAAGAAATCTCGATGGCAAAATTGACATTTTGTTACACACAACACTGGATCTCCCACAACCCACTATTACTATCTATCTACACCGCAAATGTCAGATCAACAACACGAAAGCAAAGGAACCGAAGCTGTTAAAGATATTGCAAAGCCGAAAGAGAAGAAAGCAAATAAAGATACTGATAGAACAGAGAATGCTAACCAAAAAGAGGAGGACATATTATTAGAATCGCTACTAAAGTAACAATCCTATATTCAGTTACCTTGTAAACGTTAAACACGACGTGTATTGACCGCTGGCTGTTACTAGTGACTACAACGCTGCCTCCTCTGGATCTTCAAAGTGTCCCGTACCATCCTGCAAACAACGACTGACCGCTACGAGCTTCAAATGCCAACATTGTAATATGGATTACTGTATCAAGCACCGGTAAGCATGTGTGGTAATCATGGAGCGGATACAGATCATAATAGTCGTTCGTCTTAGATTGGTCGGAATTTGATTAATGCTTCAAAGTGCTTTGCTTTTCAAGCTTTATAAGGCTTGCGAAACTCATCGATCTCAATTTGATGTCGAATAATACCATTTCCATTTTCTAATTTATCTTTTCTTTGCTTTCTTACTTTATATCTTTATTCGCGTCATCTCCCTACCTAGTCTCCCCGAATCACACTCGCCAAAGTGCGTAGATAAAGCGAAAAGAGCTGCACACTCTGCATTTCAAGGGGAATCGTCGATCTTGTTTACTGCAGAGAGGCAAAATCGTGGTGTTACAAATTCAACAAAATTCAGCATTGCGAAAACTAAGGAGGATATAAAGAAGCGGTATAAAGAGAAATTAGAGCAAACGAAACAAGAACGGGTAGCTGGAAAGAAGAAAGGCAAAAAGTGAGGTTGAATGTGTAATAAAGGGGAGTGCTGATCAGCATACAGTAGGGATGGGTTGTTGCATCATCTGCCTTATTATTATGGACGAGTGGAGATGTTTAGTTCTGTATTATGACCAAAAAAGTAATATGCCAAATACCTAATTGCTTGCAAAGGTGATATATACGTGAGCCGCTTATTTGTATTCGGCGAAACGTCGTGTAACACGAACTAGCTTTGCTTATAATTGCAGAATTGGGGAAGATATTTGCTTATTAAGAGTGTATTATGGTATTATTAATACGTTTGTATTTTTATTGATGTTTCGTATTCAGAAATTATAGAACATGTATTCGAATATAGAATAGACAGATTTTTTATTATCCGGGTGTTAATATTAAATGAAATTGCTCGGATCGTTAAATGTCTCTAATTATTGGGGAGCTTGGGAAACGTCGAATTGGGGGATGGTGTACTTTAATTATATACCGGTTGTCTTCGTTTCACTTCTCCTAGCTGCAAGTCACTACTTTCTTGTCTAATAAACTATTACGTGGGGCAGTTGAAAAGTTTTGATCGTCTATTATTTATTCAATAATTTACAAAAGTCCTTCATTTATGAGTATCGTGACGTTACACGTGGGTGAGGGATTGTGTAACCTGGAGATTTAGCGTTCTTCTAACAGAGTCAACCGGCTCATGCTAATAATTATATCCAACAGCTGTTCACCCGATTGGGGGCAATAGCATAGTAATTCTGCGTCTTACTCAGACGTATAACACTTCATCCTCTTTCTATAACTACAGTAGACATGACTTTTTTGCAAACCATTCTAAGACCATATTCAAAGTGCGTTGTGCCATCGTATAGCAGTCTCCATACAGTAAGATTTATTATATATGTAGATATAAATTTGCTTTGTTTATATATATTTAATGGATCTATTAGCTAGTAACAAACAATATTGTTAGCAGTCACCGTAGGTGTGGCAAATAATGTCGAATATAATATTTCTACCTACCATAATTGTTGATAAATATGTAAATAAGGCATAACACATAACTTATTTGTACTGACGCGTAATATGAGCTAGTGGTTATATTATATGTACAGCATCCCGGACATTTGCATGATTAGCTGGAATTAAATTGTGTACCATTTCAGATACGAATTTTTATACAGTTTAAAGTATTTTAAAAGAATGTAAAAACGGCGCAAAAATTTTACGAGAATAATTTTTATATGCATTACATTGTACATGGAGAATCGGCATGAGAAAAATGTTATATCTATTATTAGGAGACAAGATAATCCTCAGATTGATATTAATCAAGAAAATATGGTTCAATTAGCAGATGATGAACCGGAAGACTTGGCACAACAACCATTATTATTATTTGATTTGGAAACAACAAATCAATTCAAGTCGGCACTTGAAAGATTTGTAAAATTATAATGATAATAAATTATATTTTGATTAGCCAATCATATCAAAAATCGAATTGACCAATCAGACAAATGTCTGGGATGCGACGTACAAACATAGTTACCGTCGGCGTCTTTTCTCTGAAGACAGATTTTGCTGCATGTGAGATTAAGGATGCACTAGTTGCGCCTTTATCCTGAAATTGGATCAGTTGCCTAATACCAATTTATGAAGTTGCCGATGAGTAATTGTGCACTAAATGTCAGAAGAAATCGTCAAAGTCCAACATATGGAATAAATTAGAGTGTTTGCGTGTTATTTTATTTTAAAAAAATTTTTTTTTAAAAAAACCCTAATAGTATTAATTTTATATTAAGATTTTATACATCTCAGTCGGTTTGAATGTTAGCGCATCTGCCATGATATGTATGGCTCGAAAAACTTGTTCATTGGTTATGCATACGTACGTTTTATTGCAGTATTTCCCATTTTATCGTCATTCATACTGGCATCAATAAAGCATATACTGATAAGCGTATTTTAGGTAACACGATTGACTGTCATATTAATATTTGCAATAAACTTGTTCATGTGACGTAGATCTGCACATTTCAGGGACTGATCGCATTTAAAAAATGACACGGTTAATGAATTAGGTGTCAGGGTTTGCGTCTATCAACAGCAAAGATCGGCAACATCTCGATTTAGGAAAAAAAGATCAGTTGTTGAAGGAGTTTACTCCTCCTGATTATTTGGATTTTATATCAATGGACGCAGAAGACGCATCCAATACGCATCCAACTTCTGCAGAATCTCCAGAATCACAAAGACCTCAACATCGCCGCGCTGATCGCATCCATGAGAACCTAACTATAATTCCACCACCTCCTCATCAACGAAGTGAGAGCACATCCAGCGCATTTCCTATCGCGCAGTCTGTTCCCATCAATGCGAGCGGCTTCCGTAGGACACGGTCATATTATTCGACTTCAATTCCGAACGAAGCAGTGCCTTGGAGCGCATTAAGACGTTATAATGATGGGTCGTTTGTACAATCACCTGGTTTCGGAGATGTGGACGATTATTTCGGGTTTGGCCAGCTGGCGTATAACATGTCGCCCCGTGACGAGAGGGGTGGAGGAGGATTTGACGCCGCTGCAGATGGGATTAGGCAGAGAACGATTTCTGATGGTTCGAGCAGGTAAGGAATGAGATATCGTGAAAAAGACTTTTTTTTTGTAATCGTAGACAAAGCGAAACGAACCGGTTCAGTAGCGGCCGTGTGCCTTTTGACAATCGTTGACATAACATGCGCATGATCTCCAAGCGACGTCTTCGACGATTTCAAATCACATCACCCACTCTCTTCATTTTCTTATTTCTTTCATTAACCCCCCATCTACTCAAAGATTCAATACCATTACATCATCGGAGCAAGTTTCACTTCTCAATTCGTTAGATTCTGATTCTGACTTCGATTATAACGACTACGAGTCGTCTTCCACTCTCGAGCATCCCAACTGTCTCATCTCTACTTACTACCACATTAAGAATTTTCTCAAGAAGAAATTATATCTGTCGCCAAGTGAAAAGGATGTAGTGAAATGTGCATTGGCATATTTCTTAGCTTCACTATTTACATTTGTACCAGCGTTGAATTCGTTGTGCGATTTCGATCGTGATCGTAATTCGTATTTAGTTGCTGCAGTTGCCGTGTTCTTTAACCCCGCAAAGACACTGGGTGGAATATTTGAGGCTGTATTTTTTGCTCTCGTTGGTGGATTTTACGGATGTTTGGTCGGAATAGCATCAATGGCCTGTGCAGTCTGGTTTAATGACAATGATTTGCGTACATTGGGTCACTTAGTTAGTGTTTTGTGGTGCGGTGGAAGTATGTTTATCATTGCTTATTATAAGGCCAAGATTAACAAGCCTACTTTTAATAGCGCTTGCTCCCTGGCTTGCATCATTATATTTGTTAATTTAGCGCGAGAAGGAAGTGTTCATCTTGGTGTATTTAAGCTAGACAAAATATTTCAAGTTACAAAGATTGTTTTGATAGGTGTTGGAACAAGCTTTATAGTCGCCGTGCTTGTATGGCCTGTGAGCGCGAGCAAAAGACTCAAGTAAGAAAGAAATAGCTCGTCAGCGAATGTGTTTTTTTTTTTTTTGCAACTCTCAATCGGCTAATTTCAATTTTCCTTGCCCCTCAGAAAGAATATTGAACAGACATTAGACGGTTTTTGTCTTCTCCTCAAATTACTCACCAAAGCTTTCCTCATAGACAATGTCAATTACACGGACGAGTCTGTGCAAAGAGCCATTACCTCTCATCGAGCAACGTTCACTTCTCTCATTACATCATTAGCGCAGGCCAGATTAGAAATACACAACAGAGGAATGCAACGTCGATTTGGCTTGTATGAAGAAGCTGTGCAAGTGCTTCAACGCTTAGCTCAACATCTCAGCAGTTTACGAAGTTGCTGTGGTATTGAGTTGGAAATGATCAAAGACATGGGTAATCACGATCCCAAGCCAACCGTTCCATTAACCCCGACACGAACAAGTGGAGTACGTTTTGAGGATGGCAATATGCATCGTAGACCGACTGCTCCTACAGAGGAAGAGGAGGAGTATGGTGACATAACTATTCTGCTCGAGTTCATCCAATGCGTTGGACCTCATCTGAAATCTCTCGCGTATACATGTAAGCGAACTATGAAAGATCTCGAAGGCCAATTTTCCGAAAAGAGACGTCAATCAGAAGGCCCGCCTGACTTTAATCAGTTATATCAAAACCTCGAAGCCGCCCTTGCCCAGTTTGAAACATCTCAGAGCCGCGCTGTTACGCGACTATACAAGCGGAAGACAATTGTTGATCATTATGATGGGCGAGCGAACGAAGAGATTTTCTTAATATATTTCTTCGCATTCAATCTTCGAGAATTCTCCAAGGAACTGGAAAGGTTGGTTGACGTGTTTGGAAAAATTTCTGACTCGGAGGAACGCGTCAAGGAGACACGAAGAAGGCGTGGATGGTGGCGCTGGTTATGTTGGTGCTGTTATGGATGTATCGATGAGCTTCAGGAGCTGAAGTATGAATCAAAGACCAGGTCTCACATAGAGTTTCCAGAACACTCTCACAATCTTTTTGATACCATTCAGACGCCCAAACCAAAGACCAAGTGGCAACAAGTACAACTGAGGGTGTGGAAGAGATTATCATGGTTTAGACAATTTGAAGTAAAGTATGCTACCAAAGCAGCTGTTAGTGCAGCGATATTGTCGGCACCGGCATTTATTGATTATACTCGAGAGACTTTTGTGAGGTATCGTGGTGAATGGGCTTGTATTTCGGTAGGTAACTGAACAACACCAATGGGAATTGGGATATAAGAGTGCGTATTTACTAATTCATGTCAATAATTTAGATGATGGTAGTCATGGCTCCAACAGTAGGAAGTACGAATTTAAATAGTTTTTACCGCGTTTTCGGTACTCTATTTGGTTCGTACCTCGCCTTCATAGTCACCTTGCTCTTCCCGCCGAACGCTGCAATTTTAGCAGTCATTGGCTTTCTAATCGCGCTTCCGTGTTTCTACATTGTCCTCAACACGAAATATGATCGCATGGGCCAATTCATTCTACTTACGTACAATTTGGTCGCCTTATCATACAAGGAAAAAAATGTCATGGACATTGCCCGTTATCGTGCAGTTGCGGTGGGTACTGGTGTTCTTTGGGGGCTGTTAGTAACTACTTACGTATGGCCTTACGAAGCAAGAGTAGAATTGCGAAAGGGACTGAGTATGCTATTCATAAATATGTCATGGCTATACAAGAAACTGGAAGCAGTATTTTCTGCATCACCTGAACGGCCGACTAATAGGACCGAAAATTTGCAGCAAACAAACGTTGTGATAAATTCAGAAGATGGCCATTTGAACGAGTCGGCTAGGGAATTCTTGGATTTGGAGCTGTTCCTACAAGTGTCTTTGCTGAAATTATACGATCTCCTCAACGAGACCTCTAATGAACCACGTCTGAAAGGGCCCTTTCCTCAAACGTCATATAGGGAAATCATCACCAGTTGTCAGAATATTTTGGACAAGCTTTTATCTATGCGCATCGCTGTCACCAAAGAGGAATGGTACGGTGCTATTAGGAGAGACTTCATTATCCCTATAAACAAGCAGAGAAGAGAGTTGGTTGGAAACGTGTTGTTATATTATTACACACTTGCAGCGGCTCTCCAATTGAAAACACCATTACCTCCATACCTGCCTCCAGCTGAACAAGCTCGCCGTCGACTGATTAGGAGAATTCGCGAGTTACCCGTTGTTAGGCGGCGTATTGTATATGGTAATGATATACACTATATAGTATACTATGCGTATGCATTAGTGATGGAAGATGTTATTCGTGAGTTGGAGAAAGTAGGTAATATAATGCAAGAGTTGTTTGGATGTATGGGAGGAGAGGAGTTTGACCTGTTCTTTACTACGGATGCAACATCGAATGACGTTGGAAACGAAACGGGTGATTCGCAAGGCGAAGAAGATAACGTTATTCATGCAGCCGACCCTGATACCCAGAATATTCAATTCGACCTCGATCACGTTCGGAACGAAGTAGGCTAACTATCAGATAGCATGTCAAAAATTAGATAAAATTAGATGGTTTTCGTTTTTGGTTTTTGGTTTGTTTTTCTTCATGAGGCCATTTCTATTATTCTCAAAATAAAAGCACGCATATCATCTCTGTATGCAATTAAAGATTTCAATTCAACCGTTTTTGGGTTTTTTTTGAGTTGCATATATTGTTAATTGCAATGTCACGTGTTTTGGACTGTCTACGCTATTGTTATTTGGAACAATTGATTGAGCTACTCTTGCTACATTCGTTTAAGTAATGACGACGCGTTACCAAAATACACATGGAAGATATTGAGTTTACGTGAAATCACAGCATACTGTTATACTAACTAATAACACCGTTTTGAGGGGAGGGGGTTGCTTAAACAAATATTGATAATTACAAGCGATAACTATCGAGAAATATAATTGTTATAAGCACAAATTTATGAATAAAAGTTTAAGATTTCAAAAGATGTACCTGTACGGTTCTTGCATTTACAGGTTGAGAACACATTCTTCCGGGAAATCCAAATCAAATAAGATATTCGTAAATAATATTCTCTGGCTTTCCAAACTCAAGGATTACTTCCAAAAGACGATCAGAACTTGATATAACGACAATGTGATATACAACGAATTTCACGATAAGCTGATTTTATTTATCAACCAAATTAAATTTAATTACAGCAAATTTTTTAGCAAACCGGAGGCTTTGTTATATCGAGTTCTGATTACTTTCTTTTTACCATGGTTCGCGCGCAAAGTATTAAGCCAAGCATACGTCCGTTGGAAAATATAAATTAGTAAATAAAAACAATAAGCGTGAAACCGAGTCCTACTCCAGGCTTATTAGTTATTGTCAAAAAAGGTGTACCGTGTTGACGACCCATCATGATACTTATCGATAGTATGCGTAACGCGATATATGCAGGTTGGCTTTAACAAAATTGGCATACTTTCCGGAACGAGATTATTTATATAAAACTACTAGTTTATGGTAAAATCTGTATAACGATATTACGCAGAATTTCGAATGAAGAATAAGCGTTTAATTGCGCAAAAAATTTTTTTTTTCAAATTAATATGACATACCGAAGTAGCAATGTATAACCAAGTTTGGTTCGTTATAATATTGTATTAATACGGCAATAATCAATTTAATAAAAATGGTCGCCCGTTAATATCACCATTATATTGTCATAAAGAAGCAAGTGTGGAGAATGACGCTAGTAGGAAACTAGACAATATAAAGGTAACCCAGAGAAAGATAAAACTATTGTTGACTACACCCTTGAACGAAAAACGTGCAATTTGTATGAATTTCGTCATAAAGATAAAAGTCTGCTTTGCCGAATCAACAAAGTAAAGCAGACTTTTATTGCGAGAAACTTTTATTCACTAATGTATCGTCAGAGTCGTTGGTTTTACACAAGTCGCATGACAATTCTACCACTCCGGTTTTCGACGATAATTATATTATTCTCCACAGAATCCTAGTTACAGTGGCGGTCATAAGCATTCTGTCGCCTTTGATTAGAATAGACGCTCCGAGATATTGCTATTTCGGTCAAAAAATTCACAAATTCATGTTTCGACATTTTCAGTCCAAAGTTGATTTTTTTTGCGCCACCAAAGCCAGTTTATGTGACTTACTGCTACAGATGCAAATAATTCGGCCACACATTCAAAGGGCACGTAGAGACAAGTCTGGTGTATAAACATGTGAAGATATGTTGGGAGCGGTAGGATATTTATGACCGCTGCAGGTACGTAATTGCTTAAATGTCCATGTGTCAAAAACATGATACAAATTAATATAATTGCACATGACTTCTTTGCGTAATACACCACGTTTTATGAAAAATATACAAAAAGTGGTTTATTATTATGTGCAAATATCTCGAGTCAAAAAAAGGCAAGCAAGCAACTAGTGCACGTTTTTTAAGAAAGATATCAACAGCAATTTGGGTATTGGTATAGCAAGTCATACAAAGGTTCATTTCACAGTAATTAATAAGGGAATAAAATAGCACAACAGACATGCACAGATTTTGCTTATTGGAGGGAAATTATGTATTCAGGCTCTTCCATTTTCTTTTGCCATTCTTTTTTTCGTTGCTTTGTATCACTCACGTTTGTTTGTGCTGCTGCAGATCGGAAGAATACGTCATCAAATGACGAACAAAATAGAAATAGAAAAGGCTTTCACATCGAGTTACACAACCGGTATTTACGAATTTGATGTCCTCACATGATGTAAATTAGTTGGTCAATGGCGTAATGCTGTAATGATAACAAGAAGCAAACTGTATACCTGTTGATTTTGCGCAACAGCGGAATGTAACCAATGGTAATAATATCTTCGTTATCGGAACACTGAATACATAGCCAGTCGACGATGAAGACAGCACACAACCGTAAAAGCAACTTTTTAAACAAAAACCAAGCCTAACAGCCAAGTTTGAAAACAATGACTATTTTCCCAAACGAATTCCGTCGGTTGGCTTCGCTTTGGCTTGTTGCTGAATAATATAACTTGTAATGTTCCACTCCATAATTAATTGTTACGACAATAAGCAAATAAATAAAATGCCGATTACAAAAAAAAATGGCAGTTCAGCGTTGGTCTAATAATATACAGGGAAACCTGTTTAAACCAACGGGGCCTGTTTTGTTGTCTTTTGGCCGGGTTAGCCAAAGACCGGTTCAGAAAATTGGTTAACTAGAAAAAGTTTCTAATTAATGAAAATTTGGTGTAGTCGTGAAGCAGCCGGTTAAACCCGAAACCGGTTTAATCAGTGCCGGCTTAAACAGGTTTCACCTATATTCAAGGCAAATTTAATAAGCCAATGACATTTGCTCCTCTGAACGATCAAAAGCCGAGTATTGACTCCTCTGTGAGTGAACCTTTTGTTGGAAAGTGAATGCCGAACAGTTGTCATTGGTTGCACGGCTTGTTCAAATTAATTTGGGCTTTTACACATGACCTTGGTTATGCAATCTGTTGCCTGAAATCGTTATTCCTATTCAAAGATGGTATAATTTCCAACATTCTTATCTTGTCTTTCAAATTTTTCCCTAAATAGGTGCAATTATGCCGTTTTTTTTCTTCCTCCACATTCTCTTCACAAATCCTATGACAACTTTTAATCATGGTACCACTGCTTTTATCATTTTGTGTGCAGATGACAAAATAAATATGACGCGTTTGTAACCGTCATGTCACACCGCACTACTAGGTATTGAACATCTTTCCTAAGCCAACATTATATTTACCAAAGGTCGAAAACTACTACTAAATTCGTTTATAAGCCAAGCCCCAGGCTATTTGACTATCCCCTTACATAACCCTTCCTGTCGATAATATCGACGTATCGCTTAAGCCATACTTTATTGATATTCCCATACTTGCACGTTATAAGATCCAAGAGGATGTTCTGGAAATTCGGGCTTGGTGCTACTTCCGCCATCGATGGTCTACTTGAAAAGGAAGATCGGACGCTTGAAGAATTACTAGACGAAGATGATTTGCTTCAAGAGTGCAAGGCACATAACCAGAAATTAATTGAATAGTATGGATTTTATTAATGTGTGTGTGCCATGTGAATAGAATGGCCCTCGCCGATCTAATTGTTGCTCTCTTTCTTGTTAATAAAGTTTGCGAGGTCCAAATGTGCTTTCTCAACTATTCAATTACATCACTCGGGACGATTTGGATGACAAACAGAATTTTAAGTAAGTAGTCTTCTTCCATTTACATTGGCTACAACTGAATGTACGCTGTGGTTAAGTGGCGACGAACTTTTTTACTTGATTAGATATCCTTACATCGCTTGCGAAGTACTATGTTGCGAAATCTGGGAAATTTGCGAAGCAATAATGGAGAATATTGATCTGCTTGCATCATTCTGGCAACTGCTGGATCGGCCTCCGCCATTGAATCAGTTGCAAGCCAGTTATTTTATGAAAGTGAATGCTATACTTTTGCAGAGAAAGACAAGTGAGGTTAGTTATATCTATTGCGTGAGGATAGGGTTTAAAAAGATTGTTAACTATTCAGTGCTAACCTTCACTTATCTACGCTGGGCAGATGGTGAAATTCATAGAATCAATTCCTGGTGTAGTACATAGTATGCTTTCTCATATGGAGACATCTGCTATTATGGACTTGCTACTAAAACTCATAAGCATGGAGGAATATACGGAAGGCGCCGGCATTGTGGACGTAAGTTTATGTGAACACAAGACGAGTTTTTTGATCTACTCGGCCTGAATTTACATTTTCTTTTTCACGATATTTGTATTCACTACTTGCTCTTCTCTTTAGTGGTTGGATTCAGAAGGCTTAATTGAATCACTCGTTTCCAAGTTAGATCCTAATTTCGACTCAGAGGTACTAATCCTTTATTACAACATCGTACCCTCGTCAAGAATGTAATCAATCGCTTTCACTGTGTCTTACTTATATTTATAGCCCCCTGCCATTGAACTTTTCTAATTTGGCAAATGATTTCAGACACACTCGACAACCGCGCAGGTTCTGATTGATATAATTACGCTGTCTCAGTCGACTAATCCTGAGCAAGGCGGAATTGGTCCCAACGCACTCAGTCAAAAATTAATCAGGTAAACGAAAATATGGCATGATAGCGCTACCAAAGAAACTCGTCAACAGATAAAAAGATATTAACACTGTTCTGCTCACTTTTCTTATTGTATTCGATTGTCAGCGAGCCAACAGTCTCTAAACTTGTAGACTATATGCTAGACCCAGAAGCGCCAAACTCAACGTCGACACTGACGAATGGTGTAAGCATCTTTCTACAGATCATTCAAAAGAATAATTGGTAATATCGCCTCCGTTCCTAAGTACGTCGCTCTTTGACGTCAAAAACTTTTTAATAATAATTACTTACTCACGTTACGCGGAATACTTGTTGCCCTTTTTGTATACATTTAATTGTAGCGATTACGAAGAACGTTCACCATCCTTGGCTCCACATCAGCCACAACCATTTCCTGTTGTTGACCTGAGTGATATGCTACGAGTGTTTGCTAATCGAATAGGCGAGTTCAAGGCTTTGTTGGAGAAACCAAAATCAGTGGTATGTATGTGGTAATAGCTACAAGTTAAGGGAACTATATGTCCGTATTGTCATTAGGAATGCTAGTGATACTATGTCGCCGATATTGATATTACAGCACCCAGTATTACTGATTATCATATGATATCAAATATTTGTTCGATTCCTCTTCCTATCAGACCGCTGAAATTGAAACAACAATAGGCAAAATGATTCCTTTGGGTTCCGAACGCTTTCGAATATGCGAACTCTTTGCTGAGCTTTTGCACTGTTCCAACATGCACCCGCTCAACGCTGGTCGGAATAAATTGCCTAGGACCAACGGCTACTATGAGTTGAAACACATGGAGGATTACAACGATTACGGTCAAGCTGCCATGTCTTTTATTTCTGCGGACCAACTTGTCCAACCAACTCCATATATTATTCAAACTCAAGAGACAGGCAACACGGCCGATGAAACCGCCAAACCTGATTCGATTGAAAGCAATGATGTAAAAGAAGAAAAACCACAAAATGGGGATACAATACCGATTCCTTCAACGGAAAATACTTCTACTCACCAAATACAAGAGCAAGTCGGGCTTGATGCTGTCATTGTTGAAGAAAATGAAGTAAAAGATGTCCTGTCACCAATGGAAATTGTCGAGCAAGAACAGAAAGAAAATACTGATGGGATGAAGAGTCTGATCATCGAGAATGCGGATGATCCGGCATCGAATGGCTCTATAGATGATGTTGGCAAATTACCCGTTGGTGATATATTGAAGGCTAAGTTTATTGAGCACAGGATTATACCGACGTGTCTGGTATGTTAGAAATTTATTACGAGTTTGCGAATGGTCGCTTAAACGATCATTCTCTGTTGAGCGTCACAACGTTACAACGTTAACCTTATTCGCGCTTGTTCCTACACTTTTATTATCAATAGGATCTTTTCTTCAACTTTAAATGGAACAACTTCCTTCATACAGTGGTTTATGATATGATTGCTCAGATATTCAATGGTCGAATGGATGTCGGCTATAACAAAGAATTGGCCATTTCAGTATGTTTGATGATCAATCGTATATGTTGAAAACTTTGTTGAATTACACTGAAACCATATGCAATTGTTGTTTTATAAAGGTCTTTAGAGATGGTCAATTGACTAAAAGGATCACAAAAGCTCAGCGGTTAAATGATTATGAAGTGTAAGTGAAACCATCTCTTTTTTTTTTTTTCTTTTCACATTAATGAAATTGGCTTATTTGATTGATTTTTCTCCCAAAGCGCACAACCTAAAGGCGTTCGACTAGGCTATATGGGACATTTGACGTTTATCTCCGAGGAAGTTAAAAAACTCATTGAAAGGCATGGCATAGAAATCGTTGATCAAATCAGAGGTAATTCATCAACGTGAAAGTAGTCATAAAAATCAAATAACATGGCTATTCTGGAATGACAAAAATTGTGTCAAACTCGTACAACTTACATAGACGACATGGACTTTGTCGGCTTTGTTATACTTCCTAGTGCACTAACAGTTGATTGATTTCTGTGCGCTCTCAAATTTCAGAATATTTTGAAGCCGAAGATTGGCAGGAATATGTTGCAAAAACACTTCGGGAAACTTTGGAGCGTGATCGTCAACCACTTGGAGGCCAACGGCCTAGTAATCATGATAGCTTATCTCCTAGTCGAGAAGTAAGCGATGACAGTGAGACTGATGAGGACGATTTAATTGAACCGGCGAATGGGCCTGTGGCGCACGAACGGGTAAGCACTATTAGCTGCTTTTAAGAAAGATTCCTGGAACGACGAAATTGCTGGATAGATGACCCGAAGGAGTGACCGCATGATGCAAAGGGTTTTCTGCAAAGAATTATTATATCTGTCTTGATCGGCTTTTTATGAACGCAATGTTAATTTTGTCTTTTTCTTTATAGTTTGCTATTTATTTGTGCCAACAGATTACAAGCGAATTACCAGACCAAATTTCTGATGACTCTGAAGACTCTGATGATGAAGCATGGATGGGGTAAGCATTAATGCTGGATCGAAATTAAGAGTTTGATAACAATTCAAGCTATATGATACCCGTATGATTGGGCGTTGTTTATTATAATGAGGTTACAAACGCTTGTATTTTATCAGGAGTGATGAGGGCGACATTGACATAAGAGCCCCATATATAAATCCCGCCATGGCAGAGGTAAATACTCTTAAGATATATAGGACGTGCTCAGCTGACAGATCGCTGTATTCCCCCTGTATAATTTGATTTCACAACACAACCGCAGTCATGTCTGTCAGCCAAGTTTATAATCACACTCACTGCTTACAACGCTGGTTTATTACTTAATCTTGTTCACAGTCTTTATTCATAATTCCCATTCCGTCATACTCATGCTCTTTCGCCTATTCTTTTCCTAACAGCATATATTCAAAGATAGACGCAGCTCCCTAAGTTTTGGCGACGAGGACAACGACGGTGATCATGATGGCGATGATGATGGTGATGATGATCATGACGACGTTGATGACGACGATAACCATCCTGACCAATCATCAGAACCGCGACAAGCAGCAATCTCGGATAATAAACTTCTCACGGTAGCCGACTATAGTGCGAATTTCCAATCCACCTATTCTATTTCAGACTCGACTCCTCCTCACCCAAACGAGTCTAACACAACTGATATTCCGAAAATAGTGTTAAACAATAATGAGAATGAGAAGAATGATTTGGATGATGAAAAGGTTGATGTGAAAGTGGAAAATCATGTTGAGACAGAGGGGGAGTTTACAGACTTTTCTAGTATTGAGCATAAGGAGAGCCAGATTGAGCAATTTACAGTGGATGGAACAAAAGAAAATGGCGATGATGGATGTAAGGAGTAGGAGAGGGGAGGAGGTGAAGTGGGAAGGTGATGAGGTGTGTGTGTGTGGGGGGCTATTGCTATGTCGTTGATACTTTAACTAGGAAGCTATTGTTTACAATTGACTTTGTTGTCGTTGAATTCTATCTTGTAATTTTGGTGGATCTAATACACTTGCGGTGAATATGATGATTAAATATGGATTTTTTATATTTTTTTGTATATTTCTACATAGCTTTCAGCTATCGTTTGTTCGCAAGGGCTGTGTGTATTTAATGTTCATGTTCCCATGCCTTCTCTCCCTCTCTTCCAAATACAGCAACAGTTAATCAAGTAAAACACATGATCATTGTAACTAAATATCTCTGTCAGACATAGGCAAACGGGGTTTTTGCATCCCGAGCCGTCATAATATAGAACAGGGTTAAACTGTGATCAAAAAAGGCAATAATCTTCGTATCCAACGAATTACGTGTCAAGAAATTAGCTTACGTATACAAAAATATAAAAGGATTAGTTAATGAGATAAGTAGCAGTAGAGATCGTAATCTAAATCGTGTGTGTGTGTAATGCAAAATCTACAAGTAACAGGAATATTCCTATTATTAATTCATCGTTTACTATAATTACTAAACAGTTTGAATGTTACTCGTACCCGTCCTTATCAATTTGGTATCTCCCACACCACACTTTTATTCATCTGCCTTCACCATCTGTACTGTTTCTACTCTTATATTTCAGTCTCAATAGTCATGCTATCTCCATAAGCATACTTGGATTTATTTTTTTTTGGTAAAACCGAAACCGAACTTCCATCTGTGTACTGCCAAGTCATCAACCTATATACACTGTGCCCCCCTGGATGATATATAATTACATATTTTATATCTCCTAAAAAAAGACACCTCTTTCAATACGTATACACCAACCAACACGCCCACTTTGGAAGCGGCAAAGTGAAGTCAGCTACTTACTGACTTACGTGTCCTTATATACATAAGACGACAAGAAAAAAAAACAATTATAAGTATTTCTACTGCGTCGCTTGCAAAGAGAAAACTTTACCGTCATCCTGCACATTCAAGCGATAGCCCATAAGATTACAATAGAGTTAGATACATAACAATAAAAAGAGACAAGTCTGCAGCAGCCGTTCTCTGCTTTTTATATCTCCCTTAGTGGTAGGCCCACCATAAGTGACGACCTAGAAGCTATGCATCAATATTCAAACATCTCTAACGACAGTTGTCAGAGTCCTTCAACGCCAGTGTCGACCTCTATACCGTTTCCTCACCAGCTAAAGACGACCTCACTAGTAACTCCACCGCCAGCAGACTCTACATATAGACTACCCACCGCTGCCACTATCTCGCTAGCACCGACAACAACTACCACCATAGTCACTACTACAACTACTACCACAACGACCTTTCCCCCCCTCTTGCTGAAACCGCCTCCGCTGCCCAAAGATCTGGATCCGAAAGAATATCCTTTGGCCGATACGCCTACTCCACCTGCTCTTAAGAGGTTCTGTTTTGATCTCAACGGGCAACCAACGTATTTCAGAGAGGATGAAGAGTCTGAACAGGCTATCGTCAAGGTATGGAATAGATTAGGGATTTCGTAGCATTATGAAAACTATTATATTTAGAGAATGTCTATTGTTATTTGTCTAAAAATGTAAAATATTCATGGCGTTGATAGTGGCAACAAGTTGCTATACGATATTACGTATCTATTTCAGGCAGAACGTCAACAGCAATAACAACAGTAGTGATAGTAAACATAGATGTTAGCTTTAATATATTTTACTTATTGATACCCAATCTTTATACTAATACCATCTTTGTTAGCATACTTTTCTCTTATTATTCTTGTTGATGACGTTATTAACATGGCATTCTAATTATAGCTTCAGGAAGCGCTGTATAAAATGCGAGCAACTGGTCCAACGACAGCTTCGAATAGTCAAACATTTCATACTACTCCGACCGTTGCTTTGCAAATGCATCAATCACCTCAAAATATCAATACCCAAATACAGAAACTTGCTTCAACATCAGAATCCAAACCAGCGACTACAACTACAACCACAATGACATCCACAAGAAAACGACCGGCGTCACCAGTAGACATTCTAGATCTCACTTCGGCTAATAAACGGCTATCTACATATGAATCACGAATTCCACGCGATCAAACTCTTTCCCCGCCACACAAGAAGCCAAGAGCAAGGCAGTCTTCCTCCCAAGACATTGACAACGAGCTGGCCTCGGACGATTCATGGCAGGATTTGGCCACGGAATTCAGAAGAAATTCACAATCGTCATCTGCCTCCAACTCAGGAGCGATGTCACCGACTAATGCCCAATTTGACTCCACTTCCCCTCTCATACAGCCAACACCCATGTCATCTTCATCTCGACACTTTACTTCTATCACAACATCAAATCTTGGAATGGACACTCCGTCAACAACAAGAAGCACCCACTCATCAGCACTCCCATCTCCATCTTTATCTCCCGTGACTGGTATGTCTGCGTCTGGTAATAACAATCAATTCGATTCACTTTTTGCTCAAGCGGTTCCAAACGAAGTCGATGTAGAGGATACCCAAGACTCGACTGATTCAAAGACGCCATGGCACTTGACGAAACCATCAATACCTCATGTTCCATCATTGCTTGACCTTCCGACTATGTTAGCAACCTTTGATGCGTTACCGGGGACAATGCAATCATACATGCTATTCCATTTGCTTCGTCGATGCCCGGCCAACACACTCCAATACGTAAGCAATATCATCCTTCCTGCTTTGCGAAAAGACTTTCTCGGGTTACTACCGCTCGAACTAAGTCTTCACATTGTAAGGTATCTTGATGCACGTAGTATGTGTCAGGCAGCAATAGTCAGTAAACGGTGGAGGTCAGTCATTGATGGCGATGGATTCACCTGGAAACGTAGATTGGAAGCCGATGGATATGTATTAGAAGAAGGAGAAGAGGAACGGTGTATTCGAGAAGGATGGAGTGTTTTGTCTCCTATAAGGTCAATAAACTATAGGGGGAAGGAAGTAGACAGGGCAAATCAACAGATGCAGTTAGAAAGTACAATAGGAACAGAAAATGAAAACAACTTATTCGCCACTAAATTGGACGATACTTCTGTCCCAATGGAAAGATATACATCTAACAATGAGACAGAATTAATGAATGTCGACCTGGATAATACAATGCAAGAAAACTCTACTTTTGATTCTATGTTTGAATCCATTCGTCCATCAAACTCCTTTTCATCAACAGCATCGGCAACACTTTCCCATAAAGGCAAAGAAAAATCGGCTGAAGATGAAAATGATGACAGCGATGATATAATGTCCCAGTCATCCATGTCTGCTTTTCCAGCATCGACTGAGCGACCACATAGCATTTCCCTTGATGCAGCTTCTAAACTCCCGCTCGAGCCATCTGCCAGACATCCGTATAAGGCAATTTATAGGAGACATCATCTAATCAGACAGAACTGGCGCCATGGTAGATACAAACACATTTCGTTTCCTGGTCACGGCAACAACGTTGTTACTTGTTTACAGTTCGATACCGAAAAGATAATCTCCGGATCGGATGATCAATGTATTAACGTTTATGAAACAGCCACGGGAAAGTTAATAAACCGTCTTGAAGGGCATGACGGCGGTGTCTGGGCATTACAGTATGTTGGTAATACTTTGGTTTCAGGGTCAACAGACAGAACGGTACGCGTATGGGACATCAAGCGTGGGGTATGCACTCATATATTTCCCGGCCACACCAGTACTGTGAGATGTTTACAAATAATCATGCCCCAGGCTACAAGCGATTCTACTATGGTTGAACCGCCCATCCCTCTAATAGTCACTGGTTCTCGTGACTCCACACTTCGTGTCTGGCGTTTACCCGATACCACTAATGACACCCCGTTCGCACCATCCAATCCATCGTCTCCTTCTGATAACATGTCACTTCAGGACAATCCATATTTTATCCGTACACTTCAAGGACATACGCACTCTGTTCGCGCTCTGGCTGGAGTAGGAAATACTTTGGTTAGCGGTAGTTACGACTGCAGTGTGCGAGTGTGGAATATTATGACTGGAGAGTGTTTATGGAGGCTTACTGCTCATACACAGAAGGTGTATTCAGTAGTATTGGATGCAAAAAGAAATAGGTGCATGAGCGGCAGTATGGATGGCACGGTGAAAGTATGGAGCTTGGAAGACGGAACATGTGTTTGGTCTTTAGAAGGTTTGTCTTTTATTTTTGTTTATTCATGCATGCTGTGAACTTTTATATGTTTTCTAACTTTGCAATTTACAATTCTACACTTAATTTTTCGATCAAAAAGGTCACTCTTCTCTTGTCGGCCTTCTTGACTTGTCACATGATTATCTCGTCTCGGCGGCAGCAGACTCGACTCTGCGTATTTGGAATCCGAATGATGGCACTTGTAAACATGTGTTGACTGCACACACTGGTGCAATCACCTGCTTTCAGCATGACGAACACAAGGTCATATCTGGGTCTGACGGTACATTAAAAATGTGGGATGTAAAGACGGGCAAGTTCGTTCGTGACCTGTTGACTGGGCTCAGTGGTGTTTGGTATGTATTTGACTGCCTATAAACGATGCCAAGACGTCGATAACAATCTAAAGTGATGTATCATCATTAACCATGATTACATTTCATTTGTCTTGTAGGCAAGTGAGATTCGGTGAACGCAGATGTGTGGCAGCTGTACAACGCAATCAAGTCACATTCTTCGAAGTATTGGATTTTGGTGTATATAATGTTGAAGAAGATAATAACATTACCGGAGAGAATGGAGAATGGATTCCCAGAAGAACGACTGTTGGCGTTAATGATGGAGACGCCAGTAGTTGAAATCCATGAATCCCACTTTGGGAACTTATTGAAAATTTACCTCCTCTATCTCATCCTTATTTTTCTACGATCCTCTAGATTGCGAGGGTTTTTTACTTTGTATAGATTCCAACTAATCATATAATATAAACGTATACATATGACGGACATTTATACCTCTACTTCGATGACTGTGTTTTTTCCCCCTTACCTTTTTTCCTTAGCTCATTCCCGGACAATAAGTTTTTCTTGTAAATCAGTTATCTGTTTCCTTCCTAATTTTAGTAAGTTTTGCACGGATTCCTGCCAAGAGACACGGTTTTATAGTTTGTTCAAGCTGTAAGAGTATATTCACTTCAAAAACTGATGGTACGTAAATGTAAACTCTTTTAGAATTTGAACTTATGGTTTATTATAGATTGAGTGAGAATTTGATAATTACAAATCAAAGTAAATATTTGGTTCTTTGTTTCACGTGACAAGATCAAATACTTTTTCTTTGATGTCAGCGGAATTGAATGTTGGTCGTGACCTTTTGGGGTATTAGGATTAGGAGCACATCAGAGTTTGTGATATCAAGTCTGCAAGGACATTAAATGGAACCGACAACTATCTTGTCTGTCTCTGTTAAAAGAAACCCTTCTCTACAGAAAATGAGAAAATGATAAGCACATATCATACATACTTTTGTTATTGTATGGAATGCGTGGAGAAACGCCCGATGCATCATATGATAAGCTATTATGCTGAGAAAATCAATGACTTTGTGTTACTAAAGGTGCAGATGCTTATCATGCAAGACTCGAGAAAAAATTTTTTTTTCTTTACAAAAATGTACCAATCACAATTTGATGATACTATGGTATAATCAAAAAAGATTATCGTTGGCGAAAAAAAAAAACGTGAAAACATTTTCATATGAATGCATTTTTAGTTTAAAAGTTTCTTTATGGAATCCAGTAGTTGATAATACATGTCCTCCACAATTTTGAAGATGTTGCCGGGGGCGACACGCTGATCAACCCTAAAAATCGTTGGAATTTATCCATATGACATGCGAATGATTTTATTATGCAGATTATGTGGTCACGTGCAATACTGTATCTATTTCGAACTTGGTGTTTCTTGGTTAGTGCATTGTTGATGCGGGTCAGTTTATATGTCTGTCGAGTTCTATTCACCATTTCTTTTAATGACAGTAAAAATGGACCTAATCGAGTTCGGAGAAAGTTTCGAATTAAAGCTGGTCTATTTACTATACTGCAAGTAAACGTCACACGCTGCAATGAACCGGCGTAGTGTAACAGTGGTATGTGATACGACAAGCAAGCTCGAGCACTATCTACTCTAAACTATTTCTGAAACGTTACCAAAGCACTGGAACACCAAAAGTTCAAATTGTCGAAACCAAGAAGAGACTCTCAAAAAACAGCCAAACGTTGATCCATTATGAGATAGATAATGACTAAGAATATCTGCCGGAAGTTTAATCTTCACAAAGAAATTGTCGCTGACTAAGCCTTTTTTAGCATTTGGTAAAATACCAACGCAGGTCAATGAAAATAGTTAACCAACTACGTAAAATTCATACATTAAAGAAACGGTATACATGAAACGTAGGAGTAGTCTAGTGAGCTCTAGTCTGAATGGAGATAAAATCTTCTGAAACTGTCCCACTCTAGTAGACAAAACACTGTTTTAGACAAATTTTGTCGAGACAATGGAAAGACACCAGTTAAAATAAAGAAGTCCATGATACAGAATGAAACATTAGCAGTCAAGGCTGCAATCGTGTGACAAACAATGATTCGTTTGATCTTGTGCCTCGAACAGTGTTCGTGATATATATGTTATTCAATATTAATATCGCTGCCGCTTGATATAGAGTACAGCAGACGCTAACTATTCCACAGAAAAAAAGTAAGTAAATCTTTGATTGAATAGATAAATGTACAAAGAGCGTTCACGTTGTCTTGGCAAAGGTGGCTATTGTGCATGAGTGGAATAGGCACTCTAAAAATATTATTGAATTGCCTGCAATAGTGACATTTATTTTACGAAAGCAAGCCAATAAGACGATTGATTGATAAGTTGCAACATATTGAGACAAACGTACTACATGATTGCATCAGAACAACAGTTACTTTAGACGCCAGACCATGTAATGTAAAAAAAGTAAACAGTGAGAATAGACAGGCAACAGTGGAGTAAAAGTAGAAAGATTTATGAAAGTATTTTTTTTTTGTACAATTTTTGTCGTGTAAGCAATTCCGACAGAGTTACAAATAGACTTCTTAGCGAGATGGCGACTGTGTAAATATTATAAATCACGGACCGTAAAGCTTGACAAGTCCGTTAAATTTTAGAGTTTAAATTATTGCATGTTTCTTTGTCTGTTGAGTCAATTTCGTGATAAAATATATGTTTGAAACTTTTTTTATCCAACGTCTCCTTCGCTAATGCAATTTCTTCTGTGACTATGTCTCCTATTTGCTTGCGTAGCAGCGCATACATTTACTATTCATTTTTAAGTGTTATTCACATTGCCACTTGCGATATGTTGATTACGCCAAGTAGTCAAATTTGGGTCAATAAACCATTGCAATATAGTACTACGCTTAAGCAGCACTGCCTTCATGATGTAATGCTCTTTATGATATTACTGCTGACAAAATTGTATGGGAAAATTCATTTACCTCCCTTCGCTCGTCTTGAAAAATTGCTTGACAAAAAAAATAAAAGAAATAAAACAAAAACAGAAGAAATAACCCAACACTTGTATTATTCACGACGAACAGCAAACAAATAGTTGGCATTTTTAAGTCAAAAATATGCAAAAGGACGTAGTATGACTTTTTCTTTTTCAAAGTTTAGTTCTATTGCCCCATACAAATAATAGCGAAAGTCGTTGACAAACATTACGGTATATTAACGAGACGGAGAACGTACACGCATACTGACGAAACCAAGTAGTTACTTGGTCAAGCAAGAAAAACCATTATACCAACCATTACAAGAACCGTTACAACAACCATTACCACCAGCAGCAGTCGACCATTTGTCTAGGTAAATTTGAAAACTGATACTTCTTCTGCATGTACTAGTACAATGGTTTGGCGACCATAAGAGTCGTCATAAAGTTAATGTACGCAAACGAGCAAAAAATAAAGAGACTTGAAGAATGAATTTGTGGAATTTCTCATCGCCAGTTACTTATTGATAAACATTCAGCAATTGTGCTATGAGTTACTAGACATTTCTATTGTATTGAGAGAATGCAGGGAGAATATAAAAATACGCCCATGAAATGTCTGCTCATAATTGCAGTGAAAAAGAGAGAGTACAGAAAATTAGAACGTATCAATACTTTACAGCAAGTTGTACTTGGTATTATGTAACAAGAACATATGGTTGTGATTGTATAACGACAGCCTTTATAAAAACGAAAACGAGACTTGTGTAGATAAATAATCGTTTGTAAGTTCTATGAGATTTCAAGCATTGCCGCAAATAACAATATAATATAATGCATATATACAGTATGTTAATGATAGACTATATGATACGCCGAGTTTTGAACTAAAAACTAGATTTGCTGTTACTTTAGTTCAGGACAGACAATGTTAAAAACGCACAATTATATCATTTTAAGGATAGCATAACAGTTTTCCCCCTTTCTTCATTAACGGGACCTAATCCGTATCGTTCTTTTTCAGCCCCACTCATTTCTGATTGATCCGATTGTTTTCAGTGAAAGCGAAGGAATAATGATACTACTTTGTTGGGGAAACTTTGATAGTGGACGTTACTCAATTGCAAACACCCCCTTAACGATGTAAATTTAGTTCGCTCGACAACGAACACTAAGAGGGTTGTTGAAATCTTATCGTAAATTAAATTTTCATATCAATTACTCCTGCATATAATTTGGAGCCACACAATATATCATAACAAAGCAGTGAATGGTCGGGCCTTGTTGCGCAGAGAATCGTTTTCCTTTTTACAGACATGACGAAGTTCATCACTACTTTAAATGGCAGACATGGGTTGCTTAATTTAGAAAAACATGGTACTTTGGATACGATCAACGGTCTAGATCCAAACACTCCGAACCAACGCTACAAAAAAACGACTAACAAATTGACGACAAATGATGTTATTGTTGTCATCCATAAAATCTCGTAAGTAATTTGCAGGCATAATAGATGCTCATTTGCGGTATACTGATTTCCGCTTTCGCTGTTATTAGACTTATTATCATTTATTACATGTCCCAATTTAGGAATCAGTGCGACAAACCCGGAATATTCTTTATGTCATGTAGCTAATATTCGATAAAGCATAAACATCGTTTACCAATCATTGTTCGCTGTTTCTTGTAACATTTTTCAACCCACAGATGAAGTTAATAAATTTGAGACATGTATAGTAAAGCAACGAAATTCGATATGTGGACCTGTCAAATTATCAGAATACTCAAAGAAACTAAATAAATTACAATAATGAGATTTTCATCCGAATAGCAAGCTCATTGTATAAACGTTATTACACACTTAACAGGTACAGAAGGAAATATCGATTTAATAAACCACAGCATGGTGCTCACAATATCTGCCATTTAGACAACTACATACGGACTACCAATAGACTATATTTACGCGTCACAAATACGGCTTCAAAAAGCGAAGCAGACCAAAATACATTCTTTTTGAATATTGTCATTCACTTACGAGCAATTCGTTATGATTGTGAGGTATTGCTTGCCTTATTCTTTGACTTTATCTCTTTTTTTTTTTGTATATCAACACACTCTAGTTTAAAAGTTTGGCGCAAATAAATGGGACCTTGTTTTCTCAGTGAACAGATGTTCTCCATTACATAATTATAAATAGCATGTATATACTGTACATACTCCGTGTTGCAATATTGTCACGTGAACGGATTAAGGGAGAGAAAAAAAAAAGGTAAGCTGCACTGTGTGACTTCGGAACATTCCTAGAACGACCGGCTCTTATTGTTGCCAAGGTAAACAATACTGACTCATCCTTCACACTCCCATTCATGCAATGCAGCAAAATAAAGGGAGATAATAGCATACTATGGCTAACAAAAGTGTTGCAAGACAGCATACGTAGCATATATTAGTATGTATTATGTATCGAAACACGAATATTGTTTAAAGCGATGTTCGGAGAAGACGGCAAGAGACATTGGGGCGTGCGGCGGAGACATGGTTTGACCTGACGGAACGGAGATATATACAAGGTTTACCCGCAATCATGCGATACAGTCGGTTATTGCCGTGGCTGAGTTAACACGCGGTAGTCTTTGTCAACCATAGTCTAAACCTAATTAAGCGTTGATGAACAGGGCTTAGAGTATTGACACAACGCATATTAATATATTCTACAAATAAAGTTGATAACGTATTCTGATGAAAAAATTTCTTAAAATCTTTTTTTAATTGTTGATCGATATATGGGGCAATTACAACGTTTAAGTGATGTCATAAATGAAGATGAGATATGCAGATGACTGTACGTAAATCTTTGTCAGCTTAAGTAAAGGCTTGAAGTACACATGGAATGTGAAGTCAAAACATCTATGGGTAAAGCTATAAACGAGAAAGATATTGATGCAATAAGATGGTGATGATGATATCGAGATGTACACTACAGTACACTACAGTACACTACAGCGCACTACAGCACAGTACAGTACAGTTAAGTACGTATGCGCATTGTCATCATTCGTCGATAAGCAAAGAGCATGCTGTTTTAGCTGTGTGTATGATAGTTCATGCAAGTGCGGGCGTGAAGTTATTAACATAATAAATAAAGTTTTTTTTTTAAAAAAAAAAAAGTGTAAAAGGAAAGACAAAAGAAAGAGATGTGATGTCTGGTATCCAATAAGGTAGTAACATTTATGAAAGATATTTTTATACAAGACACGTATTCTACCGATTCGCGAAAGAAGTCATGGGAACCTGCATCACAATGCAAAGTATATAAAGAGGAGTTTCATAAGACATATGATTATTGGTCACATTCTTTCTGTGCATGCTTCGAAAATAGACAACACAGCGTAGCATAGCACAGAAAGCAGGCTGATACGGCAAAGTTACATCGATATCAATCATCACCTGCCATTTCATTCATGCGCACGAGAATATATTCCGCTTTAATGAATTCTGAACAAAGACCAATTATCAAGCAATGGGCGTAAATCTCTGACAACTGTCGTTAGTAAGTAAGTAAACTGAAAAAAAAATTTTTCTGCATCTTTTTGAAATGCGATGTAAGTATTGAGTTACAAACAGCGATGTTCGAAGGACATTGATTGTATGAGAGTTGGTCGACGAATAGAGTGGAACCATGTCGGACGTGCTGAGAAGTGGCTTGCAGACAAAGAAAGCCCAACAGACAATCAGATGACGCTTGCGTTATATTTCTGATTGAGATTTGTAATGTTCACTTGTATTAATAGAATAGCAAGTACACAAATAATTGATATAATTGTTCACGTGCTTTAGTGCCTATTTTTATATCGCTAACTCGTGCGTCCGACTCTGCTTTTGGCACCAAGTATTCGTTTCAACCCTTGCCCCCTGCCCCCCACAATTACTCGCTCCACACCAATATTTACACCTGTCTAACAATATGCCAAACAATCCCTTATTCCCTTTCATTTTTCAAAATGTTAAAAGATTTTTCCGGATTCTGGCCAGCACGATTGTCCACTGTTCTCTCGAAATAAACATTAAAAACAAATAATTTGTCATACTGCATGAAATGCTTAATGAACACAGACGCTGTTTATACGAATGGAGACAAATAAGTCTGCATTTCATGCATTATAAAGAAAATTGATAGGCTCTCAACTATAGGTGTTCGAGCAAAGGAGACCCAAGTTCTAGACCGAGCGAAAAAATTTTCGTTTCAGCGCATTATAAATTAACAAACCCAGTGTTTAATTTATGTTGCAGTAATAGGACGATTATGTAATACGAGCAGCTCGGGCTAATTGACTCTACAAACGTAATACGTGAGACGATATTCTTAGAAATAAAAACACTATCGCCACTAAAGCGCCCAATCATATGACGGTTTAGACTACATCACAACAAGTGAATTACTAGAATCTTGCGTTCATATCTGTCACAACAAAAAACGTTCAAGTGGAAAAAAAAAAAATTCTCCGCAGACAGCGCATCCCCACGGATGAATTAAATCTTTGGTACGTCCATACAGTTTACAAAAAAGGCCAGACAAATAGCATCAAATAAAATATACCTGTTTGCGGTTGTATGTGTGTATGTATAAGTTGTGTTGTGTATATGCCTTGTGTTATGTATATGCTTTGTGTCTGTATATACCTTGTGTGGTATATACATTGTTGTGTACGATGTTTGATATGCTGATTTACACAAGCACATTTATTGGCACTATGACACAGATGGAATGTGGTGTGAAATAGTTATACTGCATGCTGTCACATAGTCAAATAATATTAATGATATCATATGTTGTTGCTAATGGAACACACATACGATGATCTCGCTTTTCTATTATGAATTTCTCTCATCATGTCACAAGCAGCAAGTCTTTTATATTTTCCGTTCATTTGCAATCCGTACTATCTACATCCTATAAGGATCGCGCGCCTAGAATCGCGTATATTTCACCCAATGAGAAAATCTAATTTACATATATTTATTTATTCGGGAGTTGATATCCGAACAGTGCATGTGAGAAGAGAGAGGTGGATGGTTGAGCGTGATGCATTGCATTGTTGGTGACAATACGAATCAAAAATATGTAATGATATTGATTTACTGTTGAAGAAAAGTGACTCTATTAAATTGAATATATTTTATCTGCTTGCCATAATTATATAAATTAAATAAAATAAATTATTGAATATATATGTACAAGTGTTGTTGATTATTAATAATATAGAAATAATACATATTGTTTGTCTGATTAAACAAATCGCTACAAGTTTTTTCTCTATTATTTCTTCTTCTTTCTCTTTCTTCTTATTGCTATTTTTCTTCTTTTTTCTTCCTATTGTACTGCTTCGCCAACGCTGCGCCCGCCTTGTAGACCAAAGAGGGCTAAATTGCTTACACAAATCAACGTATATATGTGCATTGGTGTATTGATGTATTTTGCAATAAAATGATTGGAGAAAAGCATAAAGATGAATGAAAATGTCTGGGTTGGTTGGTCGTTTGAATTGTGTGTATACGCCTTCGTAGTAGTCAATAAAACACTGAGCGAATAATGTTGTTTTAAAGAGGATGGACGAGTGAGTGGTGACGGGACGGAGAATGGGGCGGAGTGTGAATAAGTAAACTTGCATCAGGAAACGTTTACACAGTATTTGCAGTCGGAACGAATTTCCCGTTGTCTGCATACATAAATGCAAAACGAATATGCAGTCTTCTAAATCAATACAAGAACGATTCGGTTTAGTAATCATAAAAGAATGACAAGTTATCCATACTATTAATTAATTATTTTACTGTACGTCACTTTAACACATCACATTAATTTTTTTTATCGATCTACATTGCAGAGACAGGACGGAGACAAGGAGCAGAGTATCGAGTTATGGGAGGCGAAAAGATGTCAGAGAATGACCATGTGTATATTACAGGCGTCACAGACGAAGTAAATTATGTGGTGTCACAATTAATATACAGTATATACGTGACTTGGATTTTGGTAACAATCCATCGTCTACCCTTCCCCTCAATTTCCTTTTTCCGTGCTATTAAATTTCCATACGATATATTTCAACACGTTTTGTATTGGTAATACTTATGTAGTGTGTTCCCTGTATATATGTGATACATTAAACATATACTTGATTGTCTTAAAAATTAAGATCACACATTCAGGGTTTGACGTTTTTAGTCTAATACATTTCCAACAATATCACATTCAACAGTTTTATGCAGTCTCGGTCATTTTTTTTTATCTTGCAGATAGAATAACCAACCGAATATACTCTATGGATGACAATTTTTTTTCAGCGTGGAAAGACGTTTCATGAATTTGGCTAGTCTTATTTTAAGTTTGCAAATCTCTTTTTTTTTCTTCTTCAGTAAGTATGTGCGCAATGTGATAACTTAGAGTTTGATGTAACGTGTGGCAAAGGTGATGATGAATGGATTATTTGTCTGTGTGAATTTGTTTATATTGATTAAACATTATATTTATGTTTACTTATTCGTTACCTTGTGTTTATAGGAGACCCTGCATCTATATACTCATTATGCAAATTAGGAACATCAGGTGTGCCAATGACAGCCAGATGCTGATAGCATTTCTATAATATATTTGCAAAACATGAGCGTTTAAAAAACACACGTTGCGTAGAGCTGCCATTAGACTCCCCGGTTGATCGCAGCTGTCCGATTGGCAAGGTATCCTGTAAAGGAGTAAAAGGGTAAAAGTGCCTTGTATGAGCTTACGAGAACACCAAGCTTACAATATTGTTCAAGCATGCCCATATGACTGGTTTGGCAACTTGTATTATGTATGATCGCTGGAGTTGGTAGATGTTATACATACTTACATACAATATATACATATATATACATACATATATACAGCATCAGGAACAGAATCTAGAATAGCTTTGCCATCACAAAATATTATCATGAATGATATTATTCGCAACGAAATACTGACACATAAATTATTAAAATAAGACATTTTAATATAAATATATTATAACAGATGGTGACACTGGACGAGTAATATGCCTTTAATTTATTTGTAATTCAATTTTAGTGAGGGTCTAGAATACGACCGACTCTAAGAAATGCATGTAATAGCATGTTTTTTTTTTCCTTACATAACAAAGCAAAACACCCCATAGAAAACAACTTAAGACGCCACGCTAGCCTTTACGCTTATCTTTTGCACGTTTTTCTTATCCAACATTCGACTTTTTGCTACTTTGCTTATTCCCCAATGTATTGCCATTAAATATCTTTTACCAACTACCAATTGACTGTTCTTGCGTCATTGTTTGTTTTTCGTTATAAAGTATATTAACTAACAATTAATTCAGTGAATTCATTGAACATCTACGGTCTGTGTGACTAGCCGATTAACAGTCTTAACCTTAAAGTGGGCAACAAACATATTATCTCCTGGCGATAATTGCAACATTGGTTCAAAATGTCAGATAAGAAATATTGATTGGTATTAACTTCCATCAAGTAAATATTGCATGTTGTGTGCAATGTTATTGACGTGGGAGGTGATCTTTTTCTTCTCATTTGTTTTACATTCATCACGCAATATACAGTACGACTCAACAATCATTGTTTCGAAAGGGTAGTACGTGATTTAATACTTATTACATTTAATTAAGCATATAAATAATTTATCGTTATATAGAAAGTGCCCATGCCCCAATCTCCCTGCAAGATCCTGTTTGTAACCGAGTTATCCATCAACTCAAAAAAATTCCTTATATCAAGGCTATCTCCACGACGAATTCTTCCCCCCCATTCCAAAAAAATCCCATTCTCATCTAGAACATACCATAGGATAACCAAGAAGAAAAAAATACGTCTAACCAAATATAAACCTAACGCGAGTCATAGAACAAACAGGTTAGTTAATGCTCATCTATCTCGCAATAAATCCTTCGGCCTTCTACTACCCAACCCCCCCCTTTTCCATTTGTCTTCTCTCTTGTACGCATACACATACGCATACACACATAATACATTATACACACAACAAGCAAAATACGTACAGACCCACCATTTTCTAGTCAGATATCTTTCATTCAATTGATTCTACACATCCTTCCATTTACATATCTAACTTCCTGGTAATTCCTCATCAATAAGTTCAATCTTTAGCAATCACGCAATGGATATCATAGAACTTATTCATACGGAATCTTGTCATAGTGAAAGTCGTCCCTTTCATTGTACATGGGAAAAATGCCATAAAGCATTCTCTCGAAGATCTGACCTTGCAAGGCATAGTCGTATTCACACTAATGAAAGGTATGTGTTGAAAATAATCAAATTTGTTTGAACGATGATTGAGCATAGAGTTTGTTTGATTTGGTTTTTTTTTCGCCCTCCCTTAAAATTACTTTTGTTATATTCCTCGCCATTTTCGTCTCTTGTCCATTCCGATCGTTTTCTTTCCCCTTTCTGATATTCCTTATAAAACTAATTGCATGAAATCTCATTTCCACTTTTGTACATTAAGACCCTTCGCATGCACCAAACCTGGTTGTGGAAAAAGTTTCATTCAGGTAAATATCATATCTTTTTTTTTTCATGTCGTAAAAAAATAATAATAATTACCAAAAAAAATTTGGTCACGTGAACAATATGTATACCGGGATACATTCTATTCTATTATAGCTTTCAACAAAATGCATCAAATATCCCTTCCCCCACCTTACCATGTTACTAACACGACGTCCGACCATCTTCCCTCATAAAGCGCTCGGCATTAACCGTACACATGCGAACACATTCTGGAGAGCGACCACACGTTTGCGAATATCATGACTGTAAAAAAACATTTAGCGATAGTAGTTCGCTGGCCAGACATCGACGTATTCACACCGGGAAGAGACCATACAAGTGTACTATACCTGGGTGTGGAAAGAGGTGAGTTGTGTCTATTGTAAAAGGGGCAAGAAAAATATGAGCAGATGAAATGGCATTAATTGATGCTGCTGACACCATTCAAATATTCGCTTCTTTCTTGCTTTGCTTCTTCCCCAATTTTGTCTTTTTTTATCTCCAACTTGAGATTAACGCCAAGTTTTTCTGCTACTCATTCTCTTTATGACACAGCTTTTGCCGAAAAACAAACCTGACTAGACATCATCGACGGCAACACATTCTTTCTGTGAAAACCGATCGATCTGTCGTCTGGCGACAAGTTAGAACATCAGCAATTCCAACACCTCTATCGTCACCGTCATCGCCGTCTACTTCATCACTGAGTACGCCAACGACACCGACGTTTGCCTCGGCAGTGAATTTCACGATAGAAAAGAGAGGAAGAGACGAGTATAACGTTGGTGATATAAATAACGGTTACGCAATCCAACATCACATGCAAATACGTGACCATCAATATCACGCCCCTACCGCTAACACTTCGACTTTGATCACTGCCGACCCGTATTCGTCATCGTTCAGAAATTGCCCTCTCCTCACATCTGCACCGACGCCGTGTACTCTACCAGCAACACTGTATCCGCGCCTTCCACATCCAAGGATGTTCTCGCATGAAAATGAGAATAGGATATGCTCAAACGTACACGCTAATTTAAATCCGGTTGGAATTTCAACCGGGCATTCATATTCACATGCACCCAGAGCATGGCATACGGACAGGATACACGCGACTGCAAGAGTCTGTGCGAAACAGTCAGAGTTTGAGGGAATCCATGGCAGTCTTCGGTGGACAAACTATTGATAAAATCATATGAGACATGTACACATGGACATTGGAGGAACTGTGAATATTTTATTTAATATTGGGTTGGGATGGTGATGATTTCTATAAATATCTTTGTACAAAAAAAACATTGCAAATACTTACTTTTTTTTATATATATAAGTTATTTACATATCAACGTTGTTTTACTATGTTATATTTAAAAACCTGCCTTGTTGTGAATATCTTCAATTAAACTTATCAGATTATGGCATCGGACACTTTGTAAGATAAAGTTTGTCTACAGATAATAAAAAAGGAACTCATGGCCGAACAGTTTATCTAAATATACCATAAGTTACTTTATCCCATGACCGATATTGGCATCAAAACAGGTTAAAATCTGCTTTGTTATTAGTGTTATATGTAGCGTGTTTATTAACATGGAAATTTTACGACAACCGTCTTTACGCAAATAAACCCTGAAATCCAATGTACATTTGCTTTAGTCGTAATCCTTGTTAGCACTGATTCTACTTAGAGGTTGCGGATATCTTTCTCTTCTTGTTTTGCGAGCGAGGATTATCAACCTTTTCCGTTCCACGGCCACGATGACGCGATGACACCAAGTCATCAGATGGGTACGTGTCAATTCCACGTGGCTATGAAAACGAGTTAAATGATTAATGAAAGTAGCAGCTATAACGCCCAATGCTGCTAACAAGTATGAAAATTGATTTAATTCTCACATTGTCGTCAGCCGGACTTGGATTTGCGTCGATATGAGAAGGCTTTACCTTTCCGCATGAACTCTCGTCCGCCTGGTGTTCCTTTTCATTTCTCTCCACATACACACCAGTCTCCCTTTCATACGACTGCCTCGGTATCACATTCTGACCTTCATCCGCCGCACTTGTCATTCCATGTTCCACGCCATCATTGATCTGTTCCTCTCGCCCTTCAAACTCGACAAACCACGCCCCAAACATTTTCTTGCATTCATCACTCCTCACAACTTCATACGGCGCAGTACCTCTCTTTCTACCTAACCGCTGAACGATAAAACCATCCTCGGCCAACATTTTCTGTAACGTTCGTGCAACAAACGGCTTCACTCCGAGATTGAGCGAGAATTGTTTGCACGTCGATGGAAAGCCGGAACACCAGATTTGGTAAAGGGCTCGACGGAAGAGGGCTGATGTTCCTAATGTACGAATGGCGGAGCAAAGTCTGGAGGAGGTAGGGCTGGATAGTTGTGGAAGTGACGAAATTGGCGAATGAAAGTGCAGTGCTGGAGAGACACTACAGCTAGCACAAACATGCCAGTAGTAAGGTGAAGGCGTGACTCGGTTTGGTGAAAAGTAACCATAGCATGGGAAGTGTGAATTGGATCTGCACTTTTTGCAAGTTAGCTTTTGCGGGAGTGGGGATGGGTACGGAAAAAATTGAATTAATTAAAATTCATGGAAAAAATAACTGGGAATAATAAAAGCAATCCACTACCATGAATTGATCTAACGAATTTACGCCACAAATACAGCGGCATTCTCTGTTAGCCCACTTATCTCCCGTCGTTTCTATCTCACTCGTAGATGCATCTTCTGCTTTTATGCTTTCATCCCCATTTTGCTTCTTTCCCGCAATCTTCGTTTCATCATTGTAATTCTCCTTGTGTCTCGTCCTTCCCTCGTAGATAGTACTTTGGCATGTTGGTTCTACATGACGTAACGTGGTTTCGCGCGGCGGGGAACCGTTTGACAATGATGACGTTAATACTGAGGACGAAGGTGATAATGATGACGTTATTGTTGATGATGACGTCACCACTGGATTGTAGTGCGTTTTCGTTGAAGTGTTAGTATTATTATTAGTATTGAGAATAGTTGGAGTTGAATCGATTACTACAAGGTCCGACTTTTCTTTTCCCTTATTCACTATATTCGTGTCTACCGCACGTTCATCACCCTCATTATCAAACGCTTCGGGCACGGTCTGTATCACCAACCCTATACTACAAAACAAAGAATTCGTTAATAGTATATATGTTATTTATTATAAACATGCTTTTGATTTGAAAAAACTCACTCGTGATGTCCGGTTTCGATTTGTCCAACTATTGATTTCTCGAGTGCTGTCTCGAACAAGTCATTGCTTGGATCACTGCCAGGTCGAAAGAATGGGGGTTCGTAGTCTTTCGGTGTGATTTGTTCGTAGTAATAAAGTTTTATTATTAGGTAGCGCTTGTCTGCAGAAAATTGTTGGTTTAGTTTAATGGCCCAAAAAAAACTCCAGCAGGGTTTGGAAAGAAGAGAGGCTTACTTGGAAGTGGCTTGATCAACAAAGGGAGAAGGAAAGGAATGTCAGTTGAGTGTAACGTCATCAGCATCATATAGACAGTAGCATCGTGTAGCAATATGTATCGACGATGCAGTATATCATCCCACAAAATCCTCCTCTGTACGATAAATCCTCACCTTTAGCGACTGTGTCAGCAAAATCAATCCTCTCAGCAGTTGTCGTGTGCTCTTTTCAACCTCTTCCATACCTTTTCCTGCTGCACTTCTGGCATCCATTAAAACTTCGCGGTCATTTTGTATTTTCAGAGAAGGCGTCCCGTTGACATAAGATATTGCGAATGTGTACGATTCTACAAATTTATCAGGTTCATCGGGATCAAGGAATATGCCGAAAACTACTGAACGAAGGTAATGTCTATGGAGAGCGTCGTAGATTCCTTTTTCCTTTTGGTGGGAAGATACAAGGATAAGAATTTATGCGTAAACAATGAATTTCCGCATAAACCATACCAGCCAATCTAAAAGCGAGTTGGCTTCTCGGTTGCAGTCACGTTTCAAGTTTTTCAGCACTAGGCCTTTATCGGGTTAATAAGCAGAAGCACTGTTAGCTAGATATGCGTTCATGCTGCTTACTAGTCTCATTACAATGCTTACTTCCTATTTGATAGTTTTCGTAAGTCTCTTCGGGAAAGAGGCCTCTGTCACGGGGAAAAAAGGTATGTGAACGTTATTATGCACGTATTATTACATTTAGTATGCGGGGTGTAATATCTGTAGCTTTATCCATATTTGTGGTTGTGTTTACGTTAGTGTTTGTGCCTGTGTTTGCGTCCGTGTTTTGCTGTATCTGTACCCTGTCTAACCTTTTGCGTTATTCGAGTTGTCATATTTCTGTCAATCTACCTTAAATATGTAATAGAGCTTAGACTTGTCTTTAGTAATTGATGTATGATTGTCAAACTTTGTAACGCGTTGATTGATTCCGTCTCGAAGGCCTGGGAGGAGCAAGTTTACGATGGTGTCATTGTGTGCATTACATGTGATTATTATAAATCCAGTAGACTGTACATACTTGAGCGACACTTTGAGCCATGATTCTCGATGATACCAAAATTTTCAACAAGGCCGCGTCTTCCTAGAGTATATATATCTTATTTAATGACGGTGATGTGATAAATTTATGACCGACATGTCCGATAACCTTGTCCTTATGCACAGACTTATTCGCATTCTTATGACGATATTCCGTCCCAATCCCGACACGAAAATTATCTCAGCCGCTTGAATCCCGAAGAGATTCCCACATTTTATTATGCATATTCTTCAGTATTCTTACCTCTCCCACGCACGTGTCATCAGCCAATACCATTCCCCGACGCGCGATCCGTACACTATTCCATATGCAGATTGATATCTTATCATGACTGTCAAAATCACTCTGATGTCATTGTGACGCCTATTGGGTCTGTATGATGTCAACAAGGGAATTTGCATATAAAAATACATTTTTCTAGACAATATTGAATAATTAAACAAGAATTAGGAGGGTTTTTTTTTTGGCTGTCATATCCGCTCGCGCAAAATATACCCTAAAACGTTATTTACCCGCGTATTTGCTATACAAAATGACTTCTCTTGGCAAGCGAAACGAAGAAAGAACGCATGAAGGTATGGGTCATGATATGAGAGATAGTAAAGCATAAACAAGGAGATTTCTATAATATTTGTGTAAGAAAAGCGTGTTTCTAGAGAACATGTAATCAACTGCGTTGTATTATAATTTGACACTATTACATAATACATTTTATAATAGAAAATCAAGAACGAGCTTATATTGCAGCTTCTCACCGTGGCGTATGCATTTACACTATTCTTGCTGTCAAGTTTCCTTTATCTTATTTAGATATTCACTCCTTTGATGTTGACTTGTAGGATCGGAGTTTAGAAGCTCGTATGGAATCCGCTCGTAAAGCATCTGAAATACACAAAAAACGTACTGGGAAAGCACTCCGTATTACTGAAGATGATGTTCGGAACGAGGAAATGTACCAAGAGATTGATGAACCGGAAGAGACACGCGAACCGCGTCGACATGGGGAGACTTCAAAGCGTCAGGGAGGGTCGACCAAGAAGTAAAATGGGTACAGAAAAAAAAAGAAAGACGGTGAGTTGGAGGAGAGTGTATGGTAAAGAGAATGTATGTCGATTATAACCTAAATTTTCTTTTTTTCTTTTAAACGATGGTTCGTCTATAGACTAGCTTACGTGCTTATCAGTTCGACACTTTTCCCAATTACTATTTGACTTGTATTGCAATTAGATGAGAGTGTCATCTTGTTAATAAAGGTAATGATGTATACACTTAGACATGAATTGAAGAGTGTACAGGTTTTAAATAGTCGCTAAGCACTCTAACGGAAAATTAAATATGATAAAATGGTCACTTAGTATACTCCAAAGCGCTTGTTCAGGATCGTAGACATAGTTGGCAACTTTTATTAAACAACATTGTAAATACAAGATTTCAACAAAAGTATAAATGGCACCATTGCTTGACTTCATGTAACATTACTGCCAATATTGTCAATTAAATAACTTGGAAATTTGAGAACGTCAGTAAAGTGTAGAGTTTGATAGTTTGCTCTTGGCACGATTAATGATTTTCTGTTGATTTTAATCTAACGTACCGGTTCCAACGTGTTGTTGACTAACTTGTTGTCATCTGTTCAAATCTCCTAATCTACGTTCATGCCGCTTACTAATCTCATTATTAGTCACTTTGTATTTCAATCGATTCCCCAAGACGTACAGTACAATATACCAGTGCGCATTTGCCACGATATTTAATCAAGAGTTGATGCAGCGGCTCGATTTCGTATTGCGTATATTCAGGATTAAAAAGACATGAACTTTTCCGGTCGCTAGCAGGTTAATTTTGAGCTTTAAATATAGCCCAGAGTTAACGTCATGACGTAACTTTTACAAACGACTCAGAGATGGAAATAGTCTATCAGTCCTCTCTATCCACATCAAAGCCTTTCTTATTTTCGTTTCTCTAAAGTAGTAGCAACAATATTTATTAATACATTTCTCAAAAAAGAAAGCTAGATGATGGGGAATGAGCTCGAATAACGTGATTGGATATTTAAGGTTCGCGTTGTTTTGATCGGACGCAAGTTTAAGGTATTGCCATAAAAGGAACCCTATATATTTGTTCATGTATGGTAGATTTACAATGCCAAGACTTGTTTGACATCGTATAATAATTGGATGGTTGACGTATGCAGGATTTACTCTCATATAGAAAAGTTTGATAATATGAAAATAAATATGATGCGAATGAAGTCAGATACGTGTTCTCCGACCAAAACATAAAATTAGTTCGAGGTGAATGCCTGGAGGGTGACGTATTTCTCCCAACATATCCGTCGACGGTGTTACGAAAATTCGGAAATGAATTAAACACACATTTGTTGGTATTGGTACATTATATAGAGCCGGAAACGTTGATATAAGTGTACATCTGTAAATTTCTATCGTTTCTGTAACAATTTGCACCAATTTGTTCCGTACACTGTTTGAAAAAAAAAATAAAGAATTTTTAATAAAAAATTTTAATAAAAAATTTTTCTTTTTTAATTTAATAAAAGTAATAAAAACGATCCTCTCCTATTCATATGACGATCATTTGCAGATGCGGATCTACATAATCAACGCATGAAAGCGCTATGAACTGGTTCGTGAGCGAAAATCCTTGTTAACCGATAAACGCTTGTGGAATGATAAAAAGGCCTACGACAAAACATTCTTCACTTATCAACCAGAATCGGATTGCGACAAAACACTCTTTTCTTATCCACCAAAAAAAACCCAATTCATAAAATAGGCGGGAGTTAAAGTAATAATAATTGTAAGGGTGTGGTACAGTTTAACACCAGTGCGACCAAAAGGTTGTGCAATCACACTATCGCTATAATAATAAATGGGGTTCTCAAAATGTGTAACGATATTAATATATTGATTCACATTGCTTCGCACGTAATAAGATGAATCTAATCTAATCCTGTCTTTACTATTCGTCATGTTAAAGGCCATTACCGGTTTGTGGAGTTGTTATATTCTTGATTCTTACCAAACGCCATTGTTTAAACCTCTCTGATTTCGGTTTTTTTTCTCGACTCCGTTTTCTGCAGGTATTGCGTAAGCAGTGTTATGTTGCGACTGCATAGATATTACTTCCCCGTACCACAATCCCTGAAATGCAGATCACTCAATTCAATTGACAGATATTTGGTTATTTTATATTTTATTGCATTTGCTTGTAGATTACTGTTTAGTCAACAATCATGGGCGCATATGAATTTAAGCTTCGCTCGCATCTGCTCAATCGGCTCCCATACAATACAAAATATTCCCGGCGTAAAATAACAAAGAATCTGCACTTTGAGTAACAGGTAAAGACGGAAAGACTTCCCTTGGCCGTACTACAAATGTACAACAAAATATCACTGAAAATTTTTTCTTCAACTAATGAAGAAAACGGGTGGGATGTTGGCCCCTTGATCACTGAAATCTTTGTGTAAGACAAAAAATCAGTTCCATATATCGATAAGGGAGGGTAGTAACCGACATAATGATATTATTATATTAACTTGTATTTTTTTATGCATATTAATATAGCATATATCTACCGATTTATGTTAGTATTACCACATACTGTTATCAAACTATCGAAAAAACTACATCCCTTCCCTCTCATCCTTCTCTCGAAATCAACTCCCTTTCCCCTTATCCACCATGTCCGCCCAAAGAACCAAACCGTTTTCAATAACACTTAATGAAGCTCACATCAAATGGGTCAAGGAAACGGCAACTCAATTCGACGACTGGAAACCAAATAGAAGAAGATATCAGAAAAACGTTTTATTAGAGTTTGAGAAGAATTTTCAGTTGTCTGGACAACAGGAGGCAAGGCAATTGTACAGTTTGGCGATACAGCATGTGTTGAGCGATCCGATTATTGCAAAGGACGAGAGCACATTGGCTAAATTAACAAACAGGAAGCTGGCACTACAAAAAGTAAGGACTAGTTATCCGGGCAATTTTTCGATAGAGAAAAACTGTCTAACCTTGCTACAGATATCTCCATGTCCCGACTCTCACTCAACCTCCAACGTTTCACTTTTTCATATCGTCAATAGTCAGAAACAAGAACAAATGAATGGAGGCAGTACTGGAAACAGCCTAAAGCACATGAAGACCTCCAGGTAAATAATATATATGCTTGGTCTTGTTCCATTGTTTGAGATCATCCATTACGCATTGTTTGCATTGTCATCCAACACAATGGTGTGATACACAATATGTGATGATTCATCATGATAGAAGGTGGCGGGTGTAAAGAAAGTAATATAAAAAGGAAAACCCTGCTAGATAAGAGAAAAGCGTAATCTACGAGTTTATTTCCGCAGATCTAAACAAAACTCGTTTGACTCAATTCTCGCATTCTTCAATTCGTGATCACTTTAACTAATTTCTCATTATCCCCATCTCAATCACGTCTGAAACTTCCAGCTCCAATTTCACCATCCATCACTCCCGGAATACTCTCAATTTCACTACTTTCTGTCCCGCTTCCCTCCGTCTTCAAATGGTCAGCTAATAGCACCTTCCCCAGATCCCTGCGACCCTTGCGATCACTGCGATCCCTGCGATCCCTGCGATCCCTGCGATCCCTGCGATCCCTATGATCCCGAAGATGACGATAACCCACATAAACCCTTATTCAAACTCGTTCTCTTTGCTTTCCTCCTGCTTACCATTCGTCTGTTCGAATCGGCGTTCACACTTCTTATTCTCCGCCCAGTTCGCACGATAACGTCAATTATTTCGCGCTTAGCGCCCATCTACATGGCAGTGATTTTTTCTGCGTGTCTCGCTCTCGTAGCATTAGAACATTTAATATTAATATCGCTGTTATCTATTCTGGTAACAGTAAGAGCAGTAAAGGACTTCACAAATTGGGTGTCGGGGGTAGATTATCGGAGCATCAACGGAAAGCGACTTTTACTAAGGGGGATGCTGGGTTGTGTTGGTTTGGGTATCGTACATTTGGAACTGATTAAGATGCACCCAATGGATTGTTATTTTTTCGTTGTATTTTTTGTACAATTAATCGGTGATTGTATGTAGAGTGTATTTTCTCCCTGTATATAGAAAAATGATCAAGTGAGGCCGTGGAAGTAGAACACAGCCT